CGCTAAAGTTTCGTCGGAACGAATTTACGGGAAACCAATTAACAAACGGAGACGTAACAGTAATGTGTAATTGAACTGTGGACAGAGAGAGACGTATTGTTGAGCACGTGAGACGTTCATTGTGAATACTAGCGTTTGTTGTAGCGCGACTGTGGAAATTAAGTGTATCGCAAAGTTTCAATCAGAAAGAATAAACCAGTTTTATTTAAGAAAGGACTTGTATCGGTAAAGTTTCTTAGGAAATAATTTTGTACGGAAAATTAACTAACAAACGGAGGCGTAACAATATCATGAGATAGAACATTAAGAGATCTTCATAGATGTGTATTTTTATTTGTCACACAAGGCGTCGTTAGTAAGTGGATGCAGCTTCAAAGATTGACTGATACTGTAAACAAGGTACTTGATGTTGTATTTCGATATAACAGACTTTTTATGTCAAGAAGTTTTATATACCATGAGATAGAAGTCATAAAACATTCTGATATCTTGACAGATGTGTCATTTCATTTGTGACACAAAGATTCTCCCACGTCTAAAGTTGATGCCCAAGATTGGCTAACGAGGTTTATACGGTATTCAGTGTTGGATTTTAACACAACTGACTGTTTGTGTACAGTTTGATTTTGGACACTTTTAATTTAAATTATCATGACGTGAATGCATTTTTTAAGCTGGTATTGATTAACTAACTGCCTTCCCTCTAGTCTACCACTTCAAAATTAGGGATGGCTAGCACTGACAGCCCTCGAATATCTTTGCGCCAAAATAAAAACAAACAAACAGAATCTACGACGCTGTGGGAGCGTTTATTATTTCGTTCGAGTGTTAAATCTATTATTTACTTCCCGTTTTGTACACCAAATTTCACTTTGTGATAATTGACCACTAGGAGTAGTAGTAGTATATTTAAACGTATTTGTACAAACTCTGAAGATGGATTCGCATTTTGTAGTGTAATAAAGCAAACTGGAAGTCACATCAGTAAGATTTCTTGATTCTAATGATGTTAGATTTTGAAGGATTAGTTTTTAATAACTTATACCAAAAATTCGGATGTTATAATTTTTGAAATGTTACGGTTTCATCTTTTTGTAAAAACTTTTACCGCATTGTATTAAATTTAATGTAGACTGTAGCCGTGTAGGTCTAGGTCTTACCTTGCCGTTCGCGATGTTAATTTGTTAATCATTAATCTATCGTTAATTTGATAACAAAAATGTACTTTAAAACAGTGCTTCTCAACCGTGGTTCCGCTTGTTCTAATGTGTAAATACTAACTAGTCGCATGATAATTACAATCCGACTACATCATATTTCTTTATTAGTATAGCGGGTTCCATAATGACAAAATATAACAAGTCGCTGCATTATTTAAAATTAGTTAGAGAGACTAGGTACAAACCTGTGCTAGTATTACAGTAACGTACCAGAAGAGTTCCGTGGATTTGATAAGGGTGAGAAACACTGATTTAAAATATCAACAAAAAACATAAAGTACTATGTGATGCTCATAACTTCATTTTAAATGCTAATTTGTAGGAGTTAATAGGTTTGTTTTTTGACTTGGAATGTAATGGAACACTTATTGGCCCTGGGGACATTTAAATGATTAAGCATGGTAATATAGAAATTAATAAAAACCCTATAACCCGAGTGCTTTTGAAAGATGGAACTTTCATATTCAGGGACAAACTGGGAACTGGCACACAGTTTGCCCCTGAAGAAGAAATAGTCCACGTTTACTAAAGTAGTTTGGGTTTAGTAGGGTTTTTAGTTTCTATTTCTTATCAAGACTTCTTGACCTACATGTTTTCTTAACACCACTGCATG